TATCGTGATAAATATTTTTGGTCATATCGCCCTGCTCTAGTTGGTGACAGTGTTTACATTGCAATGTGCCTTTGTGACATTAATTGGTCGACATGGTACATTTTTCCACCAATAGGAAAGAGGCTCCCCCCCCTCCCCCTTTCTTTACCATTTTCGTGTTGTCCTTAGAAAACATTTTTTGTTTTTAAACACAAAAAAACGTGACGACAGTATTTAGAAATATATATGGCTCATATATTTTTTTTTCATAACTCTGGATTTACTGGCCTGTAATTAAAATTAAAAACTTTGAAGTCCAAACTTCAACACGGGCTGAAAGACTCAGCGTGGCTGCAGCTTATTGCGGTGTCATCTTAAATCAGTCGTTTGATTTGGAGGTGCAGCGTGTGCGTGGATCCCAGAGGGTTAATAACTCTCACCTTCCTTCCATTTCCAGAGTGTAACATCCACCCACCTGTGTGAAATCTGAAATTCCCATGGTGTTGTTTAAAATGTGCTCTGGCACAATCATAAGCATCGCTTGCTACTGAAAACAAGGAAAAAGCCGGTCCTGCTATGGGCTGAACCATTTGTTACTGGTGGAGGGGGGGAACACTATGCAATATATTCAGTTTTAGCATTTATATTCACTGCTGACTGTAACTACGCTCAAACTGTTAATGCTGTCTTATTTTAATAAACAGCACTGTCACATGCAAAACTAGGGTGGCACTTGCCACCCGATGCCACCCTTCTAGATCCACCCCTGAGTGATGCTGTCACTCATCTCCAGGTAAACCCGGTGTTGCACCTGTGCCGTCTGCCTCTGCAGCAGCTGCAGCTCTCGGTGATAAAATGTCGCCGCAAACGGAAACACTTCAGGCAGCTGGAGGTCAGAGGTCATCAGGCAGCTGACGGTGCGTCTGGGGTCATTTCCACGCAATGCCGCATTAACGCTCTGGAGGGCCGCCACCACTAAAACACACAAACACACACACATACTGAGGCGAGGTCAGAGGTCAAAAGGTGAGCCTGGTTCGGGTGTGGGAAGAAAATGGCGTACTGTTTCGCGTGCTCTGAGCTTCCTGGTTGGCAGCGGTGACGCCTTCCTGCAGCTCTTCATGCTCCAGAGGATCCACAGAGCCCTGATTCTGGGGTCAGAGGTCACAGAGAGGTCAGAGGTCACTGAGGTCAGAAAGAGGTCAGGGGCCGCACTTGTTAGTTTACCTGGGCCTTCTGCTGGCGGTCTGCGGTCAGCTGATCCAGGTACCAGGGCCCATTGTCAGTACGGAGGCCCCTGAGGGCCAAACACGGCAGCTGGAGTGCCGACAGCAAAGCAAGCTCGTTGGCGACATCCAGAGCCTCGTCGACCTGCTCCACCGCTGCCCGCACTGACGCCCACAGTGACATAATCGTTAGGTCATCAATACCAGCATTAATGCCAACAGAACAGGGGGAGGGGCTTATTTCTCACCATTGACGGCACTGATGTGGTCCTGGATCTCCCTCTGAGTCAGATACTCCTCGTACATGTCTTTGTCCTCTGCCACAGCCTGCTGACACACACGCACGAACACACACGTCAACAGTCTGCTCACCTGACTGGACGGACACAAATCTCTTTAACCAATCAATGTCTTACCCCGCCGGCGGCCCGTTCAGCCTTCCTCCTCCTCGCTCGTTGCAGAATCTCCTGGTAGACGCTCATCAACGCCTCCTGCAGGTCAGTGAGGAGAGCAGCGGGGTTCCTCAGAGCCACCGCCGTCACACCCACATCCCCTTGGTCCACGGCCTCATTAATGGCTACCACCGCCGCGTGGACTGTTGGCAGAATGCAGGGTCAGTACCCCCAGCAGCCAATCAGTCTGTTCCTATCCTGTAGCTCCATCCGCTATCAGCCAATCAGAGTCTGGTCCTACCTGCAGCCTCGTCCACTGACAGCTCATTGGCCAGGATTCCTCCGATCTTGTTGAAGGCGGGCATCTGGATCCCGTATTTGTCGAGCTCCAGCTTCATGTTGTTGATCTCTTCCTCTGAACAAAGTTACAGGTCAGCAAAATTGACCGTGATTGGTCCAACACCCAGTACTGTAGCACCCACCCCCCGGGTGTCAAAGCCCCTTCCAAACCTTCCCAGCACCAACTTCTGTGAAAGTACACTAAAGCCAAACTAATCCCAAATTATTAGTTACCTATGTGGCGTTTACCTGTGAACTTGACCTTTCCATACAGGTCGTGAATCTGTGGGGCCAAACCGAGTCTGTACAGGTACAGGCTGCAGAGAGACGTGAGCACAGGTGAGCACAAGTGAGAGGCGGCACAGAGGACAGGTGATCAGACGAGCAACGAGGCGTACCTGAGCGCGTGGATGCAGTACACCGCTCTCGGCATGTTCTTCTTGTCGTACACGTCGGTCGTTTCAGGATGGAAGATCTGGAAACAACAACAGGTGATCAGCCCAGCTTCAAACCAATCAGCTAATCGATACTATGATCCGTCGATGTGTTCACTGACCGCCGGCAGCCCAAGTGCCGTCATGGCGTTTCTCCAGTGGTTGATGTTGTCAGTGTGGCGGAACTGAAGACCGACAGCCTGCAGGGATCAATACAGAGCTGATCATCGAGTTGATCAATAACCCCGTCCCCCAAAGAGCGGTAGACCGGATCAGACTGGTTCTAGCTGGTGTGTGTCGTGACCTGGTATCGCAGCTGCTCCGGGTCGTAGATCTTCTTCTGAGGAACAGTGCTCGGAGCGAAGCGATGACCCAGTTTGGCGAGAATAATGCCGTTCCTCAGCGCCTCCTCCAGCTCTGTGGGAGCAGGAAGCTCCTCCCCCAGACATGCCTCCATCCACCTGAAGAAGAAACTGGTTCTGTTAACAAAAGTGAGCAAACACTTAAGGTGCTCCCGGTCCAGGTCACTGACCTCTTGGCCTCCTCCAGCCTGCACAGGTACTGATAGGCCACATTCTGGATCCTCTGTTCGTCCATCTGCTCGGCGGTCAGACGCTCATCTGCAACACGCCAGGAAACATGACATCACACCCGTGTCACTCCTTTAACCGCAGATCAATATTGTGCTCTCAGTTTGTTTAGATGACGCTGAACCCGTTTCTAACACTACATCAGATCAAACTGTTGATTACGTTCCCAAAAGGTCGACTGTGTTCGTCTGAAGTGGGAGAAGCGTTTCACCCTCATCAGCTGACCAACGACAGGCCATGAGGTCAGTTCCGAGACCGATATTAAAGATATCACCTGATGATGATGATGGTGAAACGTTTCACCCTCTGAAAACGCTTCAGATGAACAGAAGCAACTTTTCCTTACCTGGATGATCAATCATCTTTATTAATGAATGTGATCAGCACCAAGTTACAGACAAAAACACTGAGTCACATCATTAAAACCAGCTGCACTCCTGATGCTTCCCTCACACCTGAAAAAAATTCCAGCTCAAAAATAGTCTTCTCACAGGTATGGCACATTCAGCTTCCTGCCATCATCAGTTTACAGTCCCGTAGGTGATGAAGGTCTACCGTGTTTCAAGGTCTGGAGCTCTTTGGGGTGAGCTCGGGCTGATGATGATGGAGGACATGACGCACGTTTGATCCACAATCTTTGAATCTGTCTGAAGCAGCTGAAGCTTCCTCACACGTTACAAACGCGTCTTCATCGTCTTCATCCAGATGCAGGCTGATGTTCCCGGGAACCATCTTCATCACTTTAAGAAGTTTTATTGAAACTGATGACAGCAGGCTGCTGAGGACCTTTGACCTGGAATCTTCTTCAGGTAAGTCTGACATGGTCAGGTGGGAGGTAAACCAGTGAGCTCAGAAAGCAGTAATAATATTTGACGTAAACTCGGAGTCCTACAAAGGCTGCTTGACTCTGATCCCAATCACAGAAGAGCCACAAGGGACCGTCCTCTCATATTATAAAGTTACAAACATAAGAAATTGCTCTAATATTCACAAACGCTCTGTTATAAATATCCAGAACATTACAGAGGTGAAAGATATACGATTGACATTTAACCCGTGAAACTTTATTGCACATTGCTTCACTGGTTCAGCGCGTTGCTCTTATTGTCTTGAAGTGACTGTAAACACGTCATTTCATTAAAGTCTTGCAAACTTTGGTTTGTTTTTTCACACAGAAAAACTGCAGCACGTGGGGCTACGGGTCATTTTTTTCCCCCAAACCTATGACATCATCACGCCGTAAACTAACCAGACCGAGAATGCCTCCTCCACAGGTTGTTTCACACCAGAAGTGTCCACCTGTGCAGGTGAACCAGAACACCGCATGCGGGAAAACGCCCTTAGATCTTAGATTGAGACCCGGATCATAAGGAGTCCACCTGGACAAGTGTCCATCGATCACCTGACCTGTGACAGGTGACTCACCTGTGGTGGTTTTAATGCTGTAGCTGATCGGTACAGCTGCAAGCAGCAGCACTGAGGTCAGCTCCTTTGAATTAACCCCACAGACGCAGAAAATCACGGAGTGTGACACCGAGTTAATTGCATATGAATCTGATTGACGCTGCGGTCATTCCGGACTCTCTGACCGACACTCACAGTGGCCGTTCGCGGCTAAATCCGCCATGTTGTCCCCCCTCTCGGTGTCCCGGGTCTGTGTCGGGTCGTTGCGGGTGTCTCGGTGTCCCGGTCCGGGTCCTCTCGGTGCCGGAATGTGTCCCAAAGTCTCAGTTAAAAACACAGAAACCGCAGCGGAGCTCCAACCGTCCTCCGACTGTTTCCTGCCTGGAGTTTCAAAGCTCCCGCCACTCTCTAATTGGTCGAGCCGTCAGCCTTGCCTCCTATTGGCTAGAACCTCATTGCGGTGGATTGTGGTCTATGGAGTTCACTGTCGTAATAGCTGAATCGAAAACGGTCTTCCCGCAAATATTTACATCTTATAACTCACCTGGCGTGACGTCATAATGCAAAGAGTTTACTTGCGAAGTCTTCTTCTGTTGCTGCCGGTTTTACCGACCACTTCCGCGTTACCATAGCAACGAGTCAACCTGCAGGTCAGAGCGGTTTAGCAGAGGGGCTAGCTGCTTCAAATGTTCGGTTTCAGGGGACAGGTGAGCAGTGAGGAGGAGGAGTTTCATCATCCCCTGCAAGCTGTGAGTGTTTGTTATTGGCAGCAATTCAGTGATGTACTCTGCTGTAGCTGATTCAGCCCTTTAATAACCTCAGTAAGCTCTTACTGATTGATCAGACCTTTCCTCACGGATCAATAATAACGTAGATAATCACTGTTACTGACTTGTCTCACTGACCTGCGCCTGATCCTGAGGATGGATCTGACTGATTGGTCCACACACCTGAACCTGCAGGTTCTCCGGTAGTCAGCTGATTCATTGATGAAGGCAGCAGGTTAGCACATCTGCATGTCTTTATCCAGGTGACTCTTCCTCCTTCAGGTCCAGCATGACGTCCCGTGCAGCCCCTTCAGGTAAAGAAGCTGTGAAGGTGAAGAGGAGGAGTGGGAGTGTGGGGCGGAAGCAGACAGCAGACATTGAGGAATTGACATCTTCTGGGAACAAAGCGCTGCACGAGGGACGCCCACAGGAGGCGCTGAGGTACTTCAGAGATGCCCTGAAGGCTGCAGAGCAGGTGAGGCGGTTACAAGAACAGATGCGGTGTCAGCAGTGTTAGTGGCACTCCTGGCACTACATTTCATATCATGCTCTCAGCTCCAGGACTCGCGGGTCCTGCGGGCCTGTTCCTTTAACCTCGGGGCTGCCTATGTGGAGGTAGGACGACCTCGGAAAGGTCTGGACTTCCTGCGGCATGCTCAGCCTGGTCCCAAGGCCGACCGCCTCCCTGACCTCCAGTTCAACCTTGCCCTGGCCCATGATGCACTGGGGCAGAGCCGGGAGGCCGCCACCTACTTCCTGCAAGCTGCCCAGCTGTATAGGTCACAAGGAGACGGCTGCAGCGAGGGGGACGCCTGCGTGGAGATGAGCCGCTGTTACAGCAGGACACAGGTCAGGACCAAAACCTGAATTTGACACAGAATAGGTGAGCCAGGTGACTCAGGTGTGTCTGTCTGTGTGTCACAGGACTGGGCGCTGGCGGCTCAGGGTTACTTGCGAGCTGCAGAGAGTTACAGAGTGGCCAACATGTTGGACTATGCAGCCACCGCCCTGTCAGAAGCAGGAAGTCACATGACCCAATCAGATCAGTGCAACCAGGAGGACATCATCAGTGTGCTGTCAGAGTGTCTGAGTTTGATGGGGAGCATTACGGACCCGAGGACTCTGGGTAATCACCTGAAAGAAGGTTGCTTGATTCAGAATGGAATAGAATAGAATAGGCCTTTAGTGTCACTGTGCAATCGAGCTGTGGTGCTCCACGGCAACTATGCAGGAATAAATAACACACAGGAGACACAAGAGAAAGCCGTTAGAGAAAAAACCTGCAAAATGCTTGGAGGTGGTGCAGAGACTTGGTCTAAGTAGAGTCTGTGTGTGACTGACCTGAGTGACGAGGGTTCAGGTTGGTGGCTGGCCAAGGTGGGGTGTGGGGGGAGGGTGTTTGTTAACCGTCCGAATGGTCCAGGGCAGAGGTCGGCAACCTGCGGCTCTTTAGTCTGTATAGTGCGGCTCCGCGTGGTTTGGGAAAATAAATTAGAAGTATTTAGCTGAAGTGTATTTTATTTATGTTCTTTTTTAACTTGTAGTTCTAAATTGGAAGATTCATTGTGATATTGAAATATAAAAATTGTATTCTATTATTTTTTCATCGCTCAAAATAAGCGTCACACTCGTGGAAGCCGGTGTACCTGCCGAAACGGCGTGCATTTACCGAGACTTTCAACCCCAGCCAGGCCAATTATGGATCTTCGGATCCACATCATGTCAGCAGCTGTTCTCCACCTATGTTAAAACAAACAGCGCTCACGCCTCACAGACGACAGCTTACAGTCCTGCGTAAAGATGAAAGTGACTTCGTACAGCCCCGATCTGCAGACGCTGTGCGCAGAGGTTCAGGAGCAGAAGTCCCGTTGTAAACATATCACGGCAGACCCGACGATGTTTCCATGAACAGGCTTTTCAGCATCTCTTTATTGACCACTTTTCACACACGGTTGCTGTACGCACACAGCCGGCTGTAGCTTTGCAGCTCACAGCCCGACATACACCAACACAACAGCACAGACGTTAAGGCGGCGAGGCGTGATTGCGGGTGCCGCTCAGGTGCGTCCAGATGGCTCATTGGGTGTTAAAGGTTGCTGACCCCTGGTCCAGGGGAAGAGGTGAGTCTGGAGGTGTGGGACCTGATGGACCTGTGGTACCCACTAGAGAGCCGCGGGTCAAACGGGTTTGTGGGCGGGCTGTGAGGCATCACATGGCCCTGGTTTACCTGAGACAGGAGGATCTGGCGATGGCCTCCAAGGCAGTGATATTAACCATCTGTGCAGCCTTCCTGTTCTCAGTCGTGGGCCCTGCGTACCAAACACCCAGGCAGGAGGAGAGCACGCACTAGTTACTGTAACTGCTTCTCTGTCACTCAGGTGAGCTGTACCTGTCGGTGGGCGTGTCTTACTGCCGGCTCAGGTCTTTCCAGGAGGCAGTGCAGTGTTTCCAGAAGGCTCTGAGCCCCGCGGCTAAGTGGCCCCCCCTGCTGCCCAAGGTCTTGCACAACCTGGGAGCGGCGCTGAACTCCATGGGCCAGTTCAGGTCCGCCGTGGACTACCACAGGCTGGCCGCTGGACTGTACGGTGAGGCGCACACCTGCGGCTCACCTGTTTAAGCAGTTCACCTTTGACCCTCACAAACACTTGCCACATCTTTAATCAGGAGTCTGACAGGAAAATCAGTTTAGCTATAACAATGCTCTGTGTTTGTGTACAGGCTCTCAGGGTTGCCGTGGCGACCAGGCTCGCTGTTTCAGTAACCTTGCGTTTGCCTTCAGTCGGATCGGTGAGGAAGAGGAAGCAGCAGAGAGCTTAATCCTCGCCCTACAGGGATTCAGAGACACAGGTAACATCAGTACTGTCTATGTACATCGGACAGGTGAGACCCCTGTGCTCACCTGTGTGTGTGTGTGTGTGTGTGTGTAGGGGACTACCTGGCACAGGCTCAGGTGTGCGAGGTGCTGGCTGAGTGTTACCTGGTGCAGAGGAAGCAACACAAAGCGGTTCAGCTCTACAAACAGGCTCTGAGTGCGCTCTCTCACTGCCAGGTAGGTACGGTGGTAATGTGAGGTCAGCACGAGTGTGTACTCACCTGTTGGAGGTTGTTTGATCAGTGAGAGCGATCAGAGCATGAAAGAGTCGCCACAGAGCAGCATTGTCGTGTCTCTGTTCAAACTGTCGATGCAAACTTTATTCATACAGCGTTTCATCACACACATCAACTCTACACACTTCACACAAAACAAAACTACACAAAAAAACACAGACACACACACTCGGAGCAGTTCAAATATCTGAGCTGAGCAGGTCACAGCTGTATGACAGTATCGGGAACCAGAGGATGGACTTAAAGGTCATTCTGTGCTGACCTGCAAGCTGATGCAGTGACTTCAGATTTCTGCATACCCGTGAGGACTCTGCGTTCTGTATGAGGTGCAGTCGTTGTGCTGCAAAGAAAGCCTTACAACAATCTGTCCTACTGAAAGCTTGGACCTCGGGTCAGAGTCAGTTTGATAGAAGTCCATTAAGATCTCTGTCAGATGATACACAGGAGCATCAAACCTAGTCTTCTTCGCTTTCAGGACAGCAGCGGCATCCAGGACCAACTGGTGGAGCGACTGACTGCCACGCTGCAGCAGAGTCTGACCGTCGCTCCTCAGGTCTTACCACAACACCCATTCACTAAACCCATCTGTGGTTATAAAGCCCAATAACCTCAGTTTGATCTGAATTAAGAAGCAG